AGAAAATGTTTTAGGGTATGCGAACCGACATTTTCCCTTTTTTGTCATGCAAGAGTTGGTTAAATTTAGATTACCACAAGGACCATGAATCATATGTTTTTTTACCATGGCATACAAATGAGGATGAGAAAGTTTATCTGGTATTTCAGCGCATACAATTCTATCGAATTCTTCAGTTCTGAAAAGCTTAAATTGTGGATGCAAAATGATTAGAAAATGTGCATGAGGTAAGCCTCTTTTTTGAAATTCAATAACATAGGTGTATGCAGCTACCTCACCAGAAATATTTTTTTTTTTTAAATAAATCATCCTTTAACTTGGTCAACTTAGCATTGAAAGCTCTTGCGATTAAGTCTGGTATGTTCTGCATTTCTTCTGATCGTTGTTGTTATGTGATTTCTAACAACGATGTATCAGGTGATTAAGACGATTATTATGATCAGTTTGAACGTAAAGCATGTAGAATTTACTCAACGATGGCCCCGGTCCGAGGTGAACCGAGGTGAAGAGCTGTAATGGGCTTTTACGTGTTGCATGTTCTCTGAATTCGGGGGAGGATCCCCTTACAGATGTCATGGGGTCGCTATTTATAGCAACTTTTTGATGGATACATTGGAATTCGTGTATTACTTTTCGTATAAAGTAGCTTTTGGTGGGCGGTTTGGAGCAGTGGGCCCTACGTGAATGATGACGAGCCTCGTGGAGTGTGAGAGGAGTGTGTAGGCGCCTTGTCACCTGCTTAAGGAAGTGACGACCTCGGTTCAAGTAGACCTCGGTTGGTATAGACCACTTCGGTCTTCAGTAGTTCGGACTGGTTTCATTGCGTGGACCGGTGTGGTCATGGATCACGTCGGTTTGATAGTTAGCAGCACTTAGTATGATGTTGAAAACCTCTTAATGGTGATTTGCCGAGTCGGATGATAACAGAGAGGCCCCCAATATCGGTGGGCATACGGAGTGATGGTTATCGATATTGTCAAACATCTAGATGCTCCGAATCGGTAAAAAGTTATCGATTGAGTGTTCATCGTCTTCGGAGAGTCGTCTTCGGAGAGTCATTTTCGGTCTTCCGACGTAACTGAGGTAACCGAAGTGAGATGCTTGTTCTGAAGTGCAGACTGTATTCCGAGGTGAAGACACTTGATAAAATTCGAGTAACTAGCAGGCAGTCGCGACAAGAGGAATGTGAATAGTCATAACGGTCAACGATTTAATGTTAGAACGGACGGTCGCGCCGTAATGGTCTTAAATGAGGTAACGGTCGGCTTTGATAGGTTGCCACGTGTAACTGTAGGCTTCTATCAGATGAAGAGACGACACCGGTTGGAATTAGGGGTCGCGTCAGTTGGACGCGCCCCTAATTAAGATCCCTAACGGTCATAAATCGAAAATGATAAATAGAGGTTCACGATATTTGATCGAGTTTTCTTCACTTGTGCTTTTATTCTTAAACCTTTGCATCTGATAATCTTGTTGGGTAAATTCCTTTGAGCTCGAGAGTCGTTTCTTGCGCACTGAGTGTTTGTGAATTTTTCGGTAAGCTTTTCCTTTGATTCTTCTTATATGGTAGCTGCCCCTGCGGAGTACACGGTTTGATAACCGGACTTTACGTCGGTCGCATACTGTTTTCGAGCCGCTCGAACTTCAGGATCGTTGGGATCTCCCCGGGGAGGTCCCCTGAACTGAGTCTTGTTCTGTCTTTCGAAATGTTTGTTCTTTTTCTTCTCATCGGTTCCCGTCTTAGACGACTTCGGGTTAAAGTTAAAATCGGGGACCGACATGGCTTTCTCTACTATAA